TTATTTATTTATTTTGATTTTTGGGTCACACCCGGCGATGCTCAGGGATTACTCCTGGCTCTGCACTCAGGAATTACTCCTGGCGGTGCTCAAGGGACCATATGGGATGGTGGGAGTCAAACCCGGGTTGGCAATGCACAAGGCAAACACCTTACCCGCTGTGCTATCGCTCCAGACCCCACAAAAAGTCATTTTAAATAAATCTTTGTTTAATGTTGTGACAATTTAAAAGTTTTAAATACTATAAAATTAGACTCATGGCATTAAGATTTTCTGATTTTAAAATGGAACTTCTAATTCACTTCATTATCACAAATCACTTACATATTTGTGACTATCTGTACTCAAGACTCAAGACTGAATGGAGGACTGTGTAAAGATAGTTCAGAGCTCAGTCTCTCTGGCCCTGCCTGAGGCCCACCCTGGTTTGACCCACAGCATTGGGTATGTGCATAGTCTGTGTCAGAGTCAGAAGGAAGCCTTTACACAGCAGGATATGGTCCATGAACAACTCTTTGAGCCAGAGATTTTATTCTTGAGTTAAACCCCGATAGACTTGCCAGGACGGTCCATGATTCCATGTTTCTTCCTGTACTGCTCTTAGGCCACTGTTCTCACCACACTGGTGAAGCAAAATTAAATTGAAAAGAAATGTCTCTTCAACTTCAAAATTGAAATGGTTTCTAATAACCCACTAATGGATGAGGAAGCAGCACAGAATTTGTTTGCTCCATTTATAAATAAACCCAAGGCTCATTTCTAATCTGATTGAACAAGAAAAACGTCAACAGACTGGGTAGAGGACTGATATTCAGTTCAAAAGAAAAAGCAGAATATTGTTATTAACATCCTTCAAAGGAGCTAGTTTTTAAAACATTTCATCCAGGAAGTAATTGTACTGGGCAGTACCACTTTCATAATATCATATCATAAAAGAAAGCAACATTCCTATCCAAACGAAAGAGGGCATGAATTATGCAAGACTAAGGTATGATAGGAGGTGACAAAATGGCAAAACATAAGAAAGAAAACATTATAATAAATATAAACATTCAGCAGTTGTATTTGAAAATCATTAGGAGGAGGCATTAGATAGCAGAATCATTATTTAGACGAATAACAAACAATGCGTTCCCAGAAGTAAAGCCTGAGATATAGAAGATATAGAAAAAGGTCATTTTTTTCCCACAATCCACTCTTATCTCTCAAGTTCTATCTCTTGGACCCTTTAATCAATGTTTTATTATGTGAATGAAACAAATCAAAATATCACTTTTCTCCTCTCTCTCTCTCTCTCTCTCTCTATCTCTCACTCTTTTTCTCTTTCTCTCTGTCCCTCTCACTCGCTCACTCGCTCACTCTCTATCTCTCCTCTCTTTTTTCCCCAAAGAAATTTTTGTCTTATGTAAATTTGGGGGCAAAATATCTCTGCATAATTTTTTTCCCACTAGTATAGGCTTAGGTTTCAGATTTCCACTAAATTTAAGAGAATTGTGAGATCTCTGGCTGGGGTAAATATTATGATTATAACTTTTGCAGCACAACATTGTACTACCATATTCTTTCACACTTCATGGTTATGTGAACCTAGTACAAATTACTTCTCCCTCTTTACTTCACAGTCTTTGTATGCATAATTGGTCAGTATTTTTTTTTTTAGAATTCGGGTCTCAAAAAGGAATTGAAAGAGCTATGCTTGGAGTATCACGTTTCACTCAAATGAGAGAAAGAGTCCAGAGTTCCGACCTCCATCGACGATCAAGAATCAGGGACACTGTCTCGTTTGCCAAGGCGTCAAAAATCAGATGGGCTGGTCACATAACAAGATTTAGAGACGACCACTGGACTAAAGCCGTTTCCAACTGGATTCCACGGGATGTCAAAAAACCGAGTTGGCCGCCCACCTACCAGATGTTCAGACTTCTTCATCAAGATCATGAACGATGGGTTTGAGGCTCTTCATGTTCCTAGAATGAACAGATGCCATTGGGCTACACTAGCACGTGACAGGGACAAATAGAGACATTACTGGCGCCTGCTGAAGCAAATCGACGATTAACGGGAAGTCAAGTGATCAAGTGATTTTTTTTTTTGAAACGGTAAAGTTTATTGGAAAGTAGGGAAGAAAGATAAAGACTCCCCTTGTGGGAAGGATCTTCAGAGAGAACTAAGTTCAATGAATCAGTCTTAATGTATTATTAAGAAAAGTAAGTCATAGTTTCTTAAAAGCACTTAACACATTCTTTGCACATAAAGAACACTTGTATGAAAACAGTAACTTATTACTATACTTGCTATAATTATTTGCATACTAAGCAACTTTGATTCAAGTACTGTAATTAGGAAATATTTTCTCTAGGAGCTGGAGCGATAGTACAACAAATAGGGTAATTGGCTTATATGTGGCCCATCCCATTAAAACACAAATAAATTAACTCAGTATAATTAAAGCCTCAACAGGAAGTTAACAAGAAGGTCTTAAATCCTGGAGTGGAATAAATACAGCTCTTCACAAACAGATGATAAATATACATAGAAAGTTAAAGACCCTCTCAATTTTTTTGCAATTTATAAAAGTCATTAAGCACTGTGAATGAATTTAAAGTCAAGAAAGGAAAATCAATGTTATGTCCAAATGCAGACACAAAAGCAGAGTAAGTTTAAAATACAATTTAGAATTAAAGTGGAGATACAGAAATAAATCTACCAAAAATTGTTGTGCATTTCAGTACACCGAAAATATGTATCATCGATGAGACAATTATGTTTTCTTAGTTTGGGGTTCATTGTTTTGCTGTGCTTTAATACCAAGGAATGAATGTATTACAGCTGGCATAAAGCCGTGGCTCTGCTTGATAAAAAAAAAAAGCAAAGATTTAAATTTATGCAATATAGAATCCTGGTGACCATTGGGAGACATTATGTATCTAAGACACAATTCTCCTCAACTTGATTCATTGCCATTCAAATCAAAAGTTCAGTATGTATGTTTCAGCGTGAAACTGAATCTAAAATGTGAATGAATATATGAAGTTCCTACAGTAGCTCCCAATGTGGAAGACAGAAGGAGAAAGTGAGAGTTTTTATATAATATTGAATGGGGCGTTTTCCTTGCACGAGCCTGACCTGGGTTCAATTACTCCATCTCTCTTGGAGAACCCGGCAAGCTACAAGAGTATCCCACCCACAGGGAAAAGCCTGGCAAGCTCCCCTTGAAGTATTCTATACGCCAAAAACAGTAACAACAAGTCTCACAACGGGGACATCACTGGTGCCCACTAGAGCAAATCGATGAACAATGGGAGGACAGTGTGACAGTGCTATTGAATGGTATTATAAGCATGAACACTTCAATTTAGCAGACTAAGAACTCCTACATCTACATTCTACTCCTATTCCCAATAATTTGCTGCCAAAATTTGCAGGAAAAACCCAAATGATTCAATTAATCCTGGTACAATGACTTTTCAGTGAATAAAATGAAACAACATTCTACATCACATCCCCAGCACATGCTATTTTCCAATGACTTCAAGATATAAATGATAATCAGAAGGTATTAAAAAATGTGAAAATCTAACCTTAAGTATATACCTAAACAGAATATTCTACTTGTGGTTGTATCTTGTATACATCAATCCACTTTTATTATGATTTCAAACAAGATTATTGGAACATATTCTTCGGGAAAAATCTCAAGTTTTTTCTTCTGTGTTGATGGTGTCCTCCCAGCACGGATAGATATAATAGATATTTTGAAAACTATATAGAAGGTAAATATTACATATGTCCTTTATATAATTTATGATAGTTTCTTTCGCATTATTTTTATCAATTTTATTCATTCTGTACAAAACATTTTCTTCTACTTTGAAAGCAAACTTTCAGTATACTCACATGCTTTTCAAATTTTATATGCTGATAAATACGTGTATGAAGTTTTCTACTTTAATATACTTAAGTGTAAGTCTCCAATGGAGACGTTACTGGGCCCGCTCGAGCAAATTGACGATCAACGGGAGGGCCTTTACCTGGGCTGGAGCGATAGCACAGCTGTAGGGCATTTGCCTTGCACGCAGCCAGTATGGCCGACCCAAGTTCGATTCCTCCGCCCCTCTCGGAGAGCCCGGCAAGCTACCGAGAGTATCTCGCCCGCACGGCAGAGCCTGGCAACCTCCTCGCGACATATTCGATATGCCAGACACAGTAACAACAAAGTCTCCAATGGAGACGTTACTGGGCCAGCTCGAGCAAATCGACAAACAACGGGAGGGCCTTTACCTTTACCTTTACCTTAAGTGTAAGTACCTTTTCCTTCTTAGTGAGTGATCTCTTCCATTTTTTAGCAAATGAGACTCTTAAAGAAAATTTTTGTTCATACATTGTTTTAATTCTTCTTTCATTCATTTTGTCAATTTAAAACCGGTGTCTCTGAGAATGTCACTGGTTATTACTTAAAACATCCCTCCCTCATGAGTGCCAAAGTGGTCCACTACATCTGAATTGGTAAATTAGGGGATTTTATGAGATATTCCAAGAATGGCATTAATGTATATGAATTGAGCCCAAAGAAGTTGAAAAGCATTAGTGAAAATCAAAAAAAAAATGAATGCTGATTATCAGGGGATGTTAATCAGTTTGTAAACATCATGTAATATCTAAGAGTACAGCAGAACTTTTGGAAAATAAGCAAGTCTCACATGCACATTTTTACATTACCTTGGCATACAAATCATAAGTCACTAACCTGGCTGATTTTAAATTAACAAATTTTCATTGACGCTACTCTCAAAATTCAATGAAGGACTCTTAATCTGTTGTGTTTACAAAGTTTAGTTAGGTATTTTTGATATTTTAGTACCCAACCTTGTATAAACACAACCTTCCCATTCAAATGTTCACTATAATCATTTTTCATTTACTGAAATTTCCTGATAGGTTATGACAAGAGTGCCTAATAGAATTCGAAATTCTCTCCAACAAAGAATACATAAACGTGATCAACACAGATATACTATATTCCTCTTAAAAACTTTTCTTACAGCTGACTTAACAGCTTTATTTCTGAGGCTGTAGATCATTGGATTGAATGTTGGTGGAACGACTGTATACATAATAGTGAGTAAAATGTCTGACACAGTTGGAGTGTCCGAATGAGATTTTAAATACTCACAGGTAGCTGTAGAAATAAATAATAAGACAACAGTGAGGTGGGGGAGGCAAGTGGAAAAGGCGTTAGCTCTGCCCTCAGCGGATGGTATCCTCAGTACAGAATAAAAGATGTGCATGTAGGAGAATCCTATGTAGGAGATACAAAGAAACCCCGCGAAAGCCAGGAAGACAGTGACATCTATCTCATAGATATAGTCATTAGAGCAGGAGAGTTTCAGGATCTGGGGAACATTACAGAAGAACTGGTGAATGATATGGGGACCACAGAAATGGATGGAGAAAGTAGCTGCCGTATGCATGACTCCAGAGATGGCCCCACTGACCCAGACGCCTGTGACCCCATGGACACAGGTTCTCACGTCCATGATGACGTCATAGTGCAGGGGAAGGCAGATGGCCACGTAGCGGTCATAGGACATCAACGTGAGCATGGCCATCTCAGCAGAGCCACAGAGGATGAAAGAAAAGCATTGTAAAACGCATTCCCAGAAGGAAATGTTTCCTCTATGAGAGAAAGAGTTTTAAATGAATCTTGGGACAGTTACTGAAGTATAGCAGAGATCCAACAAGGAAAGATACTTCAGGAAGAAATACATGGGGGACTGGAGACTATCATCCAGGGAAGTTGTGGTGATGATGAGCATGTTGCCAGCTAATGTCAACAAGTACAGAACGAGGAACAGAGAAGCATCAAAGAATTCTAGCTCGGGCTTGGTAGAAAATCCTGTGAGGAGAAACCCACTTGTCATGAAATTAGCCATAGTCCATTAACTTCTTACTGATGTTGGTTGCGAATCACAGGTCCTGCATGGTTGCAGTGCTCCCCAAATTCTCTAGAGTTGTAAAACAATGGTTAATTAAACAAACCAATAAAAATTAATTATAAATACTTTTCTTCATAAACACAAAAATTTTAAGTCTGTGATAGTGCCTAACTAATAATGATGTAAAGCAATAATTGTATTAATCATCATTATCAAGTAACCAAAATCACGCCAATCTTATATATCTCTTTGTTTTGACTAAAGAAAAATTTTGAAATCTAATTTGAGCAGTAATATCATCTGCCCAGTTAAGTATTGCTTACACATATTTTGTATAATTTATAATCATTTTTAGTTTAATGAAAAACTAGAGAAATATGAAATCCTTAAGTAATTTCAAATGTAATATATTAAGCACTTTTGTATATGATATCCTCATAATCATTCACCAAATAGTATTTTATCAAGAAAGTATGCTAAAGCATATAACATGGTCAAGTTTGTGAATATATTCTGAAAATAATCAGAATATTTCACAAGAAAAAATAGCCTGTAAATAAAAATTTGTCAATTGACACCTAAATAGCACTTTCTCATAATTAGAAAATAATCCATGTTTAAGAAATTTGTTCAAATCCCTGAATATTTAACAATGCTAGAGTACTGAGTTACTCACCAATGAGTGTGGCCCTCAGTTCAATGTTGTGCATTCCCATAAAAAAAGAGAGAAAAGAAAAGGCCGAACTCTTAAAATTAGTACAGTAGTAATAACAGACAAATCCTGAAATTAAACTGACATAAGGTTTTAGAATGCTTGAAAATGATGATTTCAAGTAGCCAGAGATATTATATGTAGTATATCAAAGTGCATGAATTCATAGGACAGAAATAGACACTAAAAATATAGAAGGAAATAAGACAACAAGCAATTAGTTCTGTGTAGAAAATCTATGATTACGTTTATGCTGATTCATAGACTTTTACCCTAAATCAGAGACACAAAGAAAAACAATGATCCTGCCGTTAGGTTTTTAGCACTAGACAAACTCTAAGGATAAGACTACTGATTTAAGCTGAAGGTTATGGAGTTTCCTTGTTTTGTTATAGTCCAAATAATTATATTGGGAAAGCATTCAAGTCTGAATTGAATTAGGACACTGCCTCCCATAACTCAAAAACACAACACATATCAAATTTCATATTATTGGAAATCAAAACCCCCTGCTTGGTGTGTGTCCACACATACACACACACAAACACACATATGCACACGTGCATTTGTACATATATGTTCCACAGGTGTCAGAAAATAAGAGTTTAAATTAAACTAAAGCATTTTATATAGTTACTGGTCCAAAAAGACTTTGTATATAATGCTTCTTGAGATCATAATGACTGATTTATCACTTCGGCATTCTTCTCTTGCTCTTAAGTCATCAGGTCAATTAATGTAGTACCCAGAAACTTCTTGCTTTCATCTCTGTATATTTGGGAGTGTGTAGCTTAATTTTCTGAATGAAAACAAACAAAAATTTTATATATATGAAAATATTGCTTATTTATCCAAAATTTTTATACCTCATCAGTCATTTACATGAAACTAAATAAGAAAATATGATAAAAAAAACTCATTGTCTTAAGATAGGCTCAATTTGGAATGGTAATTTTGATTTATTCCAAAATCACAATTCATATGTACATCTTCCATTCAGTGCATGCATCTGTATTCCTGAACTTGCAGCAAACCCTTACATTAAATAATTTTTTTTATTCATGGTTCCTAATAAAGTTGACCTCAGAAAGTAAATAGATTCTTTAGAAGATCAGTGTTTATGAGAAAGATGTAGGTTTTTCACTATTTGAGCTCAAGATGAGATAAAAAAAATTAAATCTTCTAAAATTTATTTGAGGGGTTGGAATGATAGCACAGTGGGTGGGCGTTTGCCTTGCATGCAGGCCAACCCAGGTTCGATTCCCAGCATCCCACATGGTCACATAAGCACTTCCAGGAGTAATTCCTGAGTGCAAAGCCAGGAGTAACCCCTTGTGCATCCCCGGGTGTGACCCAAAAAGCCAAATAAATTAATAAATAAATAAAATTTATTTGATTAAATTTTATCAACTGGAAAGATTGACTAAACTTCACTTACATTTTAAAGACTATAATTAAAGGTTATACATTTAGGTGTTAAAAAAATAAATGTATTGTGGCCAGCATGACACCATGATGGTTTGGATGCATGCTATTGACTATGTTAGCTACCATCCCATGGTCATTCTATTCTTGGGTCAAATTTCAAAATGCCTGTACCTACCTACTTTCAGTATAAACACCGAATGCTTAGAGTTTACTTAGTACATTGTTTTTGCAGTGGACAGTACTATTCTCTGGAGAACAGGGGCTGGGAGGGAGATATTAAACCTGGAGGGCACTGGTATCTTTGGTTGCCTTTGGGTGTAAGTTCTGTTTAGTCACTTTTAGATTTCCAGGTGTGATTTCGTTTTCAAAAAAAAGGGGTGCTGAGTTTTTTTGTTTGTTTTCTGATAAATGACTGGCAAACCGAGTAGGCTTGGGAACTGTCTTTTAGTTGGACACAAATAATTTTTAAACACAAGCAATGTTTCACAAAACACTGATGAAATTTATCATTATTTTTGCTATTTAAACTTTACACTCCACTTTTTAATATTTCCACCATTCCCATATCCATTGTAGGATTTTTCTTAAATTTCCTTTCCGTTGGAATTGCTCCCACCTCCTCCCAAGACAGAAGTCAGACACCGAAAGTAACTGAATATAAAAAAAGACCTGATCTCTCATCAGACTCTGACAGAGTTTACCCAGAGTTACTTTTAGAGAAGGAAATGTGATTATTTGTGGAGAGAAAATGTGGCTCTCCACACATTATATCTGTTTTTATATTTGTCTAATTCATTCAGTTTTTATACTTGTTTAATTTGAAAGAGATGCCTGGATTCTCTTAATACGGAAAGTATTTCACAAGATTTAGAAGGTAATTTTACTAGTATCATGAGCACCAAAAGTAGAGCAATAACAAATTCTGTTAATCGATCCACACATTCATTCTGGGATATATTCCCAGGAATGGTATTGCTGGGTCAAATGGGAGCTCAATTTCTAATATTTTAAGAATTGTCCATACTTTTTTCCAAAAGGGCTGAACCAGCCGGCATTCCCACCAGCAGTGAAGGAGGGTCCCTTTCTTGCCACATCCGCAACAACACTGGTTGCTTTTTTTCTTTTGGATGTGGGCCAGTCTCTGTGGTGTGAGATATCTCATTGTTGTTTTGATCTGCATCTCCCTGATGATTAGTGATGTAGAGCATTTTCTCATGTGCCTTTTTGCCATTCGTATTTCTGTTTCAAGAAAGTTTCTGTTCATTTTGTCGCCCCATTTTTTGATGGGGTTGTTGCTTTCTTCTTGTGGAGTTCAACCAGTACTTTGTATATCCTTGATATCAACCCCTTGTCTGATGGTATTGGGTGAATATCCTTTCCAATTCTGTAGACTGTCTTTGTATTTTGGTCACTGTTTCTTTTGAGGTTCAGAAGCTTCTTAATTTAAGATAGTCTAATTTGACTATCTCTGTTTAAACTTGCATGGACAGTGGTGTGACATCTTTGTAGATACCATTCCTTCAGTGTCCTGGAGGGTTTTGCCAACCTTCTCTTCAATGTACCTTATGGATTCCAGTCTGATGCTGCGGTCCTTAATCCATTTTGATCTTGCTTTTGTACATGGTGTTAAGAAGAGATCTGAGCCCATATTTTTGCTTGTAGCTGTTTAGTTTTGCCAGCACAATTTGGTAACAAGGCTTTCCTTGCTCCACTTCACATTTCTTGATCCCTTATCAAAGATTAGATGATCGTATATTTGGGGGGAGATGTCAATATATTCAACCCTGTTCCATTGGTCTGCAGGGCCCCCTTTGTTCCAGTACCATGCTGTTTTAATTATTACTTCTTTGTAGTAGAGTTTGAAGTTAGGAAGATTGATTCCTCCCATTTTCTTTTTCCCAAGAATTGCTGTAGCTATTCGTGGGGGCTTATTGTTCTATATGAATTTCGGGAGTGTTTGCTCCATTTCTTTGAAGACTGTCATGAGTATCGTTTGAGGGATCGCATTGAATTTGTAGAATGCTTTGGGGAGTATTGCCATTTTGACAATGTTATTTCTCCAGATCCATGAGCAGGGGATATCTTTCCATTTTCTCATGTCCTCTTTTAATTCCTGAAGTAGCATTTTGTAGTTTTCTTTGTACAGGTCCTTTACTTCCTTAGTTAAGCTGATTCCTAGGTACTTGATGTTCTATGGCACATTTGTGAACGGGATTGCCTTTTTCATGTCACTTTCTTCTCTCTCACTATTTGCATATAGGAATGCCATGGAATTTTTGTATTATTTTATAGCCTACAATTTTACTATACAAGTCTATAGTTTCTAGGAATTTCTTAGTAGTGGTTCTAGGTTTCTCTAAGTATAATATCATATCATCTGTGAACAGTGAGAGCTTGATTTCTTCCTTTTCTACCTGAATGCCCTTAATGTCTTTTTCTTCCCTAACCGCTTTTGCAATTACTTCCAGTACTGTATTGAACAGCAGTGGAGAGAGTGAGTATCCTTGTCTTGTCCCTGATCTTAGAGGCAAGG